CACCCATAGTCTGCGCTCCAGCAGGTATATCTCACTGGTCATCCCCAAAGGCAACACCTCCTTTGGCCGCCATTCCTTCCAGTTCTCTGCTGCCAATGATTGGAACGAACTGCAAAAATCTCTGAAGCTGGAGACTCTTATCTCCCTCACTAACTTTAGGTGTCAGTTGTCAGAGCAGCTTACCGATCACTGCACCAGTACACAGCCCATCTGTAATTAGCCCATCCAACTACCTCATCCCCATATTGTTATTTATTTTGTTAATTTGCACCCCAGTGTCTCTATTTGCACATCATCTTTTGCACATCTATCATTCCAGTGTTAATATGAAATTGTAACTATTTTGCACTATGGCCTATTTATTGCCTTACCTCCATAATTTACTACATTTGCACACACTGTATATATATTTTCTGTTGTATTTTTGACTTTATGTTTTGTTTACCCCATATGTAACTCTGTGTTGTTGTTTTTATCGCACTGCTTTGCTTTATCTTGGCCAGGTCGCAGGTGTAAATAAGAACTTGTTCTCAACTGGCTTACCTGGTTAAATAAAGGTGAAAAAAAAAAAAAAATGTGTCACCAGCAAAGCACCCCCACACCATAACACCTCCTTCTCCATGCTTTACGGTGGGAACTACACATGCAGAGATCATCCGTTCACCCACACCGCATCTCCACATGGTGGTTGGAACCAAAAATCTCAAATTTGGACTCCAGACTAAAGGACAAATTTCCACCAGTCTAATGTCCATTGCTCATGTTTATTGGCCCAAGGAGGTCTCTTCTTCTTATTGGTGTCCTTTAGGAGTGGTTTCTTTGCAGCAATTCGACCATGAAGGCCTGATTCACACAGTCCCCCCTGAACAGTTGATGTTGAGATGTGTCCGTGACTTGAACTCTGTGAAGCATTTATTTGGGCTGCAAATTCTGAGGGGTGTGCAAAGCTGTCATCAAGGCAAAGGGTGACTATTTGAAGAATCTCAAATATAAAATATATTTTCATTTGTTTAACACTTTTTTGGTTACTAAATTATTCCATGTGTGTTATTTCATAGTCATGATGTCTTCACTATTATTCTACAATGTAAAAAATAGTAAAAATAAAGAAAAACCCTTGAATGAGTAGGTGTGTCCAAACTTTTGACTGGTAGTGTATATACATATGTTTTTTTAAATATTATTTTCCCCTAACACTACCACCCCTCCCCTAATTGGAGTAAACTAATGGACAACAACACTTAGGTTTCTACTTCCAGCTTATACATACTACAGTGGGGAAAAAAAGTATTTAGTCAGCCACCAATTGTGCAAGTTCTCCCACTTAAATAGATGAGAGAGGCCTGTAATTTTAATCTTAAGTACACGTCAACAATGACAGACAAAATGAGATTTTTTTTCTCCAGAAAATCACATTGTAGGATTTTTAATGAATTTATTTGCAAATTATGGTGGAAAATAAGTCTTTGGTCAATAACAAAAGTTTCTCAATACTTTGTTATATACCCTTTGTTGGCAATGACACAGGTCAAACGTTTTCTGTAAGTCTTCACAAGGTTTTCACACACTGTTGCTGGTATTTTGGCCCATTCCTCCATGCAGATCTCCTCTAGAGCAGTGATGTTTTGGGGCTGTCGCTGGGCAACACGGACTTTCAACTCCCTCCAAAGATTTTCTATGGGGTTGAGATCTGGAGACTGGCTAGGCCACTCCAGGACCTTGAAATGCTTCTTACGAAGTATCTCCTTCGTTGCCCGGGCGGTGTGTTTGGGATCATTGTCATGCTGAAAGACCCAGCCACGTTTCATCTTCAATGCCCTTGCTGATGGAAGGAGGTTTTCACTCAAAATCTCACGATACATGGCCCCATTCATTCTTTCCTTTACACAGATCAGTCGTCCTGGTCCCTTTGCAGAAAAACAGCCCCAAAGCATGATGTTTCCACCCCCATGCTTCACAGTAGGTATGGTGTTCTTTGGATGCAACTCAGCATTCTTTGTCCTCCAAACACGACGAGTTGAGTTTTTACCAAAAAGTTCTATTTTGGTTTCATCTGACCATATGATATTCTCCCAATCCTCTTCTGGATCATCCAAATGCACTCTAGCAAACTTCAGACGGGCCTGGACATGTACTGGCTTGAGCAGGGGGACACGTCTGGCACAGCAGGATTTGAGTCCCTGGCGGCGTAGTGTGTTACTGATGGTAGGCTTTGTTACTTTGGTCCCAGCTCTCTGCAGGTCATTCACTAGGTCCCCCCGTGTGGTTCTGGGATTTTTCTCACCGTTCTTGTGATCATTTTGACCCCACAGGGTGAGATCTTGCGTGGAGCCCCAGATCGAGGGAGATTATCAGTGTCTTCCATTTCCTAATAATTGCTCCCACAGTTGATTTCTTCAAACCAAGCTGCTTACCTATTGCAGATTCAGTCTTCCCAGCCTGGTGCAGGTCTACAATTTTGTTTCTGGTGTCCTTTGACAGCTCTTTGGTCTTGGCCATAGTGGAGTTTGGAGTGTGACTGTTTGAGGTTGTGGACAGGTGTCTTTTATACATTTTACATTTTAGTCATTTAGCAGACGCTCTTATCCAGAGCGACTTACAGTTAGTGAATACATATATATATTTTTTTTATACTGGCCCCCCGTGGGAATCGAACCCACAACCCTGGCGTTGCAAACGCCATGCTCTATCAACTGAGCTACATCCCTGCCGGCCATTCCCTCCCCTACCCTGGACGACGCTGGGCCAATTGTGCACCGTCCATGAGTCTCCCGGTCGCGGCCGGCGGCGACAGAGCCTGGATTCGAACCAGGATCTCTAGTGGCACAGTTAGCACTGCGATGCAGTGCCTTAGACCACTGCGCCACTCAGGAGTTTATACTGATAACAAGTTCAAACAGGTGCCATTAATACAGGTAACGAGTGGAGGACAGAGGAGCCTCTTAAAGAAGAAGTTACAGGTCTGTGAGAGCCAGAAATCTTGCTTGTTTGTAGGTGACCAAATACTTATTTTCCACCATAATTTGCAAATAAATTCATTAAAAATCCTACAATGTGATTTTCTGGAAAAAAAATTCTCAATTTGTCTGTCATAGTTGACGTGTACCTATGAAGAAAATTACAGGCCTCTCATCTTTTTAAGTGGGAGAACTTGCACAATTGGTGGCTGACTAAATACTTTTTCCCCCCACTGTATATACATTTTATAGACACAATGTATTTTACAATAGTTCTCTTTTGTTTGTTTTTAATCCCATCCTTCAGCTACCATCAACCCTTCCCATCTATCTCTGAAGCCCATCCAGTTTGATTTATTTATATTTTTAACTGTGATGTTTCACAAAAGTTCCGAACCTATATACATTTTACGTTCAGAGTATATTTTACATTAGTTATCTTGTTGTTTTTAATACCACCCTTCAGCTCCACTCAACCCCTCCCATCTATCTCTTAACACCATCCATTGTTGATTTATATTTGCCATATATTTTTCAACTGTGCTGTGATGTTTCACAAAAGTTCTGAACCTTTCTATTTTCATAGTTGCTACAGATTGTAAATTAAAGATTAAAAAAAATTCTAAAAGTATTATTATGTTATTGAACGCATAATACTTGATTGTGCATTTTTCAACTGTAGTCTCTTGCATATTGCTAATTATCTTTATGGAGTCAGATAAACATTTTAATAGGCTAATTGCTTAGTCTTATTATGAGTCGCATGTGAGGTATTTATAGTGGTGGAAAAAGTACCCAATTGTCATACTTGAGTAAAAGTAAAGATACCTTAATAGAAAATGACTCAAGTAAAAGTGAAAGTCACCCAGTAAAACACTATTTTAGTAAAAGTCTAAAAGTATTTGGTTTTGAATATACTTAAGTATCAAAAGTAAATGTAATTCCAAAATGTACTTAAGTATCAAAAGTAAAAATAAAAGTATACATCATTTCAAATTCCTTATATTAAGCAAACCAGATGGCACAATTTTTAATTAATTTTTTATTTACGGATAGCCAGGGGCACACTCCAACACTTGAGAGGATCTGCAGAGAAGAATGGGAGAAACTCCCCATCATTCAGAAACAAAGCATTTGTGTTTAGTGAGTCACCAGATCAGAGGCAGTAGAGATGACCAGGGATGTTCTCTTGATAAGTGCGTGAATTGGACCATTTCTGTCCTGCTAAGCAATCAAAATGTAACGAGTACTTTTGGGTGTCAGGGAAAATGTATGGAGTAAAAGGTACATCATTTTCTTTAGGAATGTAGTGAAGTAAAAGTGAAAGTTGTTAAAAATATAAATTGTAAAGTAAAGTACAAATACCCCAAAAAACGACTTAAGTAGTACTTTAAAGTATTTTTACTTAAGTACTTTAAACCACTGGGTATTTAGCATATAAAATGTACTGTATTATATTATATATTATTATAATATATTATATATATTATTATATATTATATGTATTATATGCACATGTCAAATATTACTGCCCACTACAAGTAAGTCAACACTTCACCAGGATGTGTTCTTTATTTATTTAACTTTTCTAAAATTAAACCTACCTTGTATTTCCCCAACACCTCCTTGGTGAAGCCATACCTAAACAAATGGAAAAGAGATACCAGAGTTGAAAATACAGTGGCTTCGGAAAGTATTCAGACCCCCTTACGTTACAGCCTTATTCTAAAATGGATTGAATAAAACAATTTCCTCAGCAATCTACACACAATACCCCATAATGACAAAGCAAAAACAGGTTTTTGGAAATTTTGGGAAATGTATTAATAACAAAAAACAGAAATACCTTATTTACATAAGTATTCAGACTTGAAAATAGCTGTGCAGCAACGCTCCCCATCCAACCTGACAGAGCTTGAGAGGATCTGCAGAGAAGAATGGGAGAAACTCCCCAAATACAGGTGTGCCAAGCTTGTATCATCATACCCAAGAAGACTCGAGGCTGTAAATCGCTGCTAAAGGTGCTTCAACAAAGTAAGTAAAGGGTCTCATATCAAAAATGTATTTGCTAAAAAAACTGATTTTGCTTTGTCATTATGGGGTATTGTGTGTAGATTGATGAGGGGAAAAAAACAATTTAATACATTTTAGAATAAGGCTGTAACGTAACAAAATGTGGAAAAGGTCAAGTTGTCTGAATACTTTCCGAAAGTATGGTATATTATTTTTTAAATAATTAAATATATTGAATTTGTACATGATCAGTGTTTTGACTGTATACCTCAAGTTGACAATATGGTCTTCATGGTTTCCCCTGTTGAGGTGAACATCGTTTGGATACACGAGCAGGAAGGCAAAAAGGATGAGGAGAATCTCAATGGAATCTTTGCCTCGATCAACAAAGTCTCCATTGAAAACATATGGCCGCTCCAATGATGGCATGCCATTCTACAGGGAAAACAACAAACAAAACAGACTATGAATATCTTAAATGTATTACTGTTTTTGGGGAAAGTTTAAACAAAAATAATGATTTCATTTTATATGTATTTAGCTAATGTATTGTAGCAGATGACAGTACCTTGTAAAATATCAACAGCAGGTCTTCCAGCTGCCCATGTAAATCACCTTGGATGAAACAATGCTGTATCAATACACTGATATAACTATCATTAATGAATTACAGTTAATAATTTACTAATATCTGTATAATTTAAGGTATACAGTGGGGAGAACAAGTATTTGATACACTGCCGATTTTGCAGGTTTTCCTACTTACAAAGCATGTAGAGGTCTGTAATTTTTATCATAGGTACACTTCAACTGTGAGAGACGGAATCTAAAACAAAAATCCAGAAAATCACATTGTATGATTTTTAAGTAATTAATTTGCATTTTATTGCATGACATAAGTATTTGAACACCTACCAGCCAGTAAGAATTCCGGCTCTCACAGACCTGTTAGTTTTTCTTTAAGAAGCCCTCCTGTTCTCCACTCATTACCTGTATTAACTGCACCTGTTTGAACTCGTTACCTGTATAAAAGACACCTGTCCACACACTCAATCAAACAGACTCCAACCTCTCCACAATGACCAAGACCAGAGAGCTGTGTAAGGACATCAGGGATAAAATTGTAGACCTGCACAAGGGTGGGATGGGCTACAGGACAATAGGCAAGCAGCTTGGTGAGAAGGCAACAACGGTTGGCGCAATTATTAGAAAATGGAAGAAGTTCAAGATGACGGTCATTCACCCTCGGTCTGGGCCTCCATGCAAGATCTCACCTCGTGGGGCATCAATGATCATGAGGAAGGTGAGGGATCAGCCTAGAACTACACGGCAGGACCTGGTCAATGACCTGAAGAGAGCTGGGACCACAGTCTCAAAGAAAACCATTAGTAACACACTACGCCGTCATGGATTAAAATCCTGCAGCACACGCAAGGTCCCCCTGCTCAAGCCAGCGCATGTCCAGGCCTGTCTGAAGTTTGCCAATGACCATCTGGATGATCCAGAGGAGGAATGGGAGAAGGTCATGTGGTCTGATGAGACAAAAATATAGCTTTTTGGTCTAAACTCCACTCGCCGTGTTTGGAGGAAGAAGAAGGATGAATACAACCCCAAGAACACCATCCCAACCGTGAAGCATGGAGGTGGAAACATCATCCTTTGGGGATGCTTTTCTGCAAAGGGGACAGGACGACTTCACCGTATTGAGGGGAGGATGGATGGGGCCATGTATCGCGAGATCTTGGCCAACAACCTCCTTCCCTCAGTAAGAGCATTGAAGATGGGTCGTGGCTGGGTCTTCCAGCATGACAATGACCCGAAACACACAGCCAGGTCAACTAAGGAGTGGCTCCGTAAGAAGCATCTCAAGGTCCTGGAATGGCCTAGCCAGTCTCCAGACCTGAACCCAATAGAAAATCTTTGGAGGGAGCTGAATGTCCGTATTGCCCAGCGACAGCCCCGAAACCTGAAGGATCTGGAGAAGGTCTGTATGGAGGAGTGGGCCAAAATCCCTGCTGCAGTGTCTGCAAACCTGGTCAAGACCTACAGGAAACGTATGATCTCTGTAATTGCAAACAAAGGTTTCTGTACCAAATATTAAGTTCTGCTTTTCTGATGTATCAAATACTTATGTCATGCAATAAAATGCAAATTAATTACTTAAAAATCATACAATGTGATTTTCTGGATTTTTGTTTTAGATTCCGTCTCTCACAGTTGAAGTGTACCTATGATAAAAATTACAGACCTCTAAATGCTTTGTAAGTAGGAACACCTGCAAAATCGGCAGTGTATCAAATACTTGTTCTCCCCACTGAATATACATATTTTTTTGAAAAGGGTTGCTCTTCTCAATGAGGTGAATCAGGACAACAACAAAAAACTGTGGTGATTTATTACTCACCACAAATGGTGATTTCTTTGCTGTGGCAGGTGGAGATTCGACTGATGTTTGGCAGCTTTCGGAGTAACTTCCATGTTTCCAGGAGAAGTTGGAGAACGTACCGAGAGTGGAGCTGCTACTGGGAAAAACGGTTGTATAGTGAAGGGGATTTGTGATAAAGCTAAAGCACTGTAGTTAGGAAAAGAGTATCAATTTCATTCTAACTGTACATAAATGCACCTACTCTTTTATTCCTGAAGGCCTCTACCATGGCAGCCACTTGTTCCACAGTAAGAGGGAAGATAAGATGGGGCCCTGAGTAGATCTCTGGCACCTCAATATTCTTATAGCAGAAGTGCCTCTCCCACTCTGTATCGCGGCACACATCATTTTCTCTGAATATGTGGGAGATTAAGTTGCCTGTAGGGGAGAAACCACAGGTATAATATAACAACATTCATGAAACCAGAAATAAGGGTCACAATTGTACACAAAAGCCAAAACAGAAGGGCAGGGAAAGTCTTACGTTCAGTGCTAGTTGGGTGGAAGTTGTCCATGAGGTAGCCAAGGAAATTGTAAAGCTGCATAGAGAAGAGAGAGAGAGACATTTTCTTTAGCAAAGTGTCACAAAGTATTCTATAAGTAGGTATTCACCAGAGGAACTGTATGATTGAGTTGAATGATTATGTATAAAACCTTTCCTCACACAAAGTAAATACTAATATTGCGTTAACAGAACAGATAGATAGCAATTAAAACTGTAACATAGAGGCTCATAATAAATTAGAGGAAAAACAAAAATACTTTTTTTCAAGAAAGATCAAATGTAATATTTTATAAAAATAAAGCAAACTGGATGGAATATGGGGAAAAATGCACCAAATTATTTTTTTATCTTCAACATAGAAATGCTACCAAAAATAATTGACTGAAACTGGTTACAAATGATGGAGTCACCCATGATTCACCAAATAGTATTTTAAAGGAGGAAGCAAAGTACTTTAAGTGTATGTTTTCGTTTCAGTCACCTCCATCTCCTCTAACTGAAGCTAATTGTAGGGATTTTTTTTCTATTGATAATGTAAAATTAACAGCCATTCAGAAAGACTCATGTGAAGGTGAAATTACAGAGGAGGAACTTCTGGATGCATTTAAAGACTTTAAGTCTGGGGAAACTCCAGGGTTGGATGGCATACCAGTCGAGGTATACCAAACCTTTTTTGATATACTCAGAGGACCGTTATTAGCATGTTTTAACCACTCCTAAGTAAATGGTAGATTATCAGACACTCAAGAAGAAGGTCTGATTTCATTATAACTGAAATAGTATACAAGGGGGAAATATAAAGATCCAGTCCATTTAAAAACTTGGAGGCCCCTTACACTTCAGTGTTGTGATGCAAAAATTCTAGCAAAATGTATAGCGCATAGAATTCAAAAGGTATTGTCGGACATTATTCATTCTAATCAGACAGGTTTTTTACATGGACGATACATTGGCTATAATATAAGGCAAGTACTGGAAACAATAGAACACTATGAAAAATCTGGGAAACCAGGCCTGCTATTCATAGAAAACTTTGAAAAGGCATTTGATAAAGTACGACTGGAGTTTATATATATATTTCTGGAGCATTTTAATTTTGGAGAATCTCTTATAAAATGGGTTAAAATCATTTATAGTAACCCTAGTTGTAAAATAGTAAATAATGGCTATTTCTCCGTAAGTTTTAAACTGTCAAGAGGAGTAAAACAAGGTTGTCCACTATCGGCATATCTATTTATTATGGCCATCGAAATCTTAGCTAATAAAATCAGATCCAACAATAATATCAAGGGATTAGAAATCCAGGGCTTAAAAACAAAGGTGTCATTGTATGCTGATGATTAATGTTTTCTTTTAAATCCACAACTTGAATCCCTCCACAGCCTCATAGAGGATCTAGATACATTTTCTAACCTCTCTGGATTACAAACAAATTATGATAAATGTACAATATTCCGTATTGGATCACTCAGAAATAAGAAATGTACATCACCATGTAGTTTACCAATAACATGGTCTGATGGTGATGTGGATATACTCGGAATACATATTCCAAATGAAATAAATGATCTCACTCCAATACATTTTAATTGAAAGTTAGCAAAAATAGATAAGATCTTGCTACCATGGAAAGGGAAATACCTGTCTATTTGTGGAAAAATCACCCTGATTAACTCTTTAGTATTATCCCAGTTTACCTATTTGCTTATGGTCTTGCCTACGCCTAGCGAACAGTTTATTAAATGATATGAGAAAAAAATATTCAATTTTATTTGGAACGGTAAGCCAGACAACATTAAATGGGCCTATTTATATAATGAATATGAATTCGGAGGACATAAATTATTAAATATTAAAGCATTAGACCTATCACTAAAAGCTTCAGTCATACAAAAGTTATATTTAAATCCGAACTGGTTCTCTTGCAAACTAGTAAGATTGTCTCACCCCATGTTCAAGAATGGCCTATTTCCCTTTATTCAGATTACAACCTCTCACTTTCAATTTTTTGAAAAGGAAATCATCCCCCAAATATTACTATTTCTAAAACAAGCCATAGAAAGTTGGTTGCAATTTCAATTTAATCCTCCAGAAACGACAGAACAAATAATGCAACAAATATTGTGGTTAAACTCAAATATACATTATTTTTTGAATTTCTTTAAATAAAAGGTATAATCTTCGTAAATGAATAGTTATGCACGCTCAAGTTTTCATTTTTTTTGTCTTATTTCTTGTTTGTTTCACAAGAAAAAATATTTTGCATCTTCAGAGTGGTAGGCATGTTGTGTAAATCAAATGATACAAACCCCCAAAAAATACATTTTAATTCCAGGTTGTAAGACAACAAAATAGGAAAAATGCGAAGGGGGGTGAATACTTTTGCAAGCCACTGTATATGTATGTATATGTATTTATATGTATGTATGTGTATATGTATGTGTATGTGTGTATATATATATATATATATATATATATATATATAGTGGGGAGAACAAGTATTTGATACACTGCCGATTTGCAGGTTTTCCTACTTACAAAGCATGTAGAGGTCTGTAATTTTTATCATAGATACACTTCAACTGTGAGAGACGGAATCTAAAACAAAACTCCAGACAATCACATTGTATGATTTTTAAGTAATTAATTTGCATTTTATTGCATGACATAAGTGTTTGATCACCTACCAACCAGTAAGAATTCCGGCTCTCACAGACCTCTCACAGTTTTTCCTTAAGAAGCCCTCCTGTTCTCCACTCATTACCTGTATTAACTGCACCTGTTTGAACTCGTTACCTGTATAAAAGACACCTGTCCACACACTCAATCAAACAGACTCCAACCTCTCCAGAATGGCCAAGACCAGAGAGCTGTGTAAGGACATCAGGGATAAAATTGTAGACCTGCACAAGGGTGGGATGGGCTACAGGACAATAGGCAAGCAGCTTGGTGAGAAGGCAACAACGGTTGGCGCAATTATTAGAAAATGGAAGAAGTTCAAGATGACGGTCATTCACCCTCGGTCTGGGGCTCCATGCAAGATCTCACCTCGTGGGGCATCAATGATCATGAGGAAGGTGAGGGATCAGCCCAGAACTACACGGCAGGACCTGGTCAATGACCTGAAGAGAGCTGGGACCACAGTCTCAAAGAAAACCATTAGTAACACACTACGCCGTCATGGATTAAAATCCTGCAGCGCACGCAAGGTCCCCCTGCTCAAGCCAGCGCATGTCCAGGCCCGTCTGAAGTTTGCCAATGACCATCTGGATGATCCAGAGGAGGAATGGGAGAAGGTCATGTGGTCTGATGAGACAAAAATAGAGCTTTTTGGTCTAAACTCCACTCGCCGTGTGAAGAAGAAGGATGAGTACAACCCCAAGAACACCATCCCAACCGTGAAGCATGGAGGTGGAAACATCATTCTTTGGGGATGCTTTTCTGCAAAGGGGACAGGATGACTGCACCGTATTGAGGGGAGGATGGGTGGGGCCATGTATCGCGAGATCTTGGCCAACAACCTCCTTCCCTCAGTAAGAGCATTGAAGATGGGTCGTGGCTGGGTCTTCCAGCATGACAACGACCCGAAACACAGAGCCAGGGCAACTAAGGAGTGGCTCCGTAAGAAGCATCTCAAGGTCCTGGAGTGGCCTAGCCAGTCTCCAGACCTGAACCCAATAGAAAATCTTTGGAGGGAGCTGAAAGTCCGTATTGCCCAGCGACAGCCCCGAAACCTGAAGGATCTGGAGAAGGTCTGTATGGAGGAGTGGGCCAAAATCCCTGCTGCAGTGTGTGCAAACCTGGTCAAGACCTACAGGAAATGTATGATCTCTGTAATTGCAAACAAAGGTTTCTGTACCAAATATTAAGTTCTGCTTTTCTGATGTATCAAATACTTATGCCATGCAATAAAATGCAAATTAATTACTTAAAAATCATACAATGTGATTTTCTGGATTTTTGTTACAAACCTCTACATGCTTTGTAAGTAGGAAAACCTGCAAAATCGGCAGTGTATCAAATACTTGTTCTCCCCACTGTATATATACATATATATATATTTGCGAGAAAAAAACCATATGGGGGATTGGAAGTGATGCAGACAATTACATTGATGGAAGTTACAATCTGCAATATTAAAGCTGATCTACCCCCTAAAAAAAAACTTTTAAAAAACATATCTATATATTGTGCTTTTTAGATGATTTATTTGCTACATAAATGAAAATGTATTAGCCTGCAATATTGCATTTTCTCATAAAAAAATCTACTGTTAATCAATCCTTTACTTTCTTATTTCTTCTCCTTTCATTTGCCTTGTCCTTCACAGGAGGTTGGTGGCTTCTTATTGGGGAGGACGGGCTCGTGGTAAGGGCTGGAGCGGAATCAGTGGAACGGTGTCAAATACATCAAACACATGGTTTGATGCCATTCCATTTGTTCTGTTCCAGCCATTATAATGAGCCGTCCTCCCCTCAGCAGCCTCCACTGGTTCGAAGGTAGTGTACCAATTCATAGGGAACAGCTGGGGGGAGGGGCATGAACCAGCTTCCCTGTAGTTGCAGGGCAAGTGCACTACCAACTGTGCTATTAATTATCTGGCAGTTGTACACTAATATACAGGGAGACTACCGTGTCTCACTTTGATCTGGGCCTGCTCCCCAGAGTATTCTATAGACTGGAAGATGTTCCAGGTGTATCGCCGTCTCATCTCCATACGAGCCACATACTGACGGTACCAGCGCTGGATCAGCACAGCTGCCTTCATCGCTGTTGGACAGAATAGAGAGAGACCATTCAGTGCTAGACCTAGACCAACAGACATGCCTGAGTATGTTCATGCATTATGTGGCTGTATGTCTCTGGGTGGGTCACAACAGTACAGTATTAGATACAGTGCATTCGGAAAGTATTCAGACCCCTTGACTTTTTCCACATTTTATTACGTTACAGCCTTATTCTACAATGGATTATTTTTGTAATCAATCTACATACAATACCCCATAATGACAAAGCAAAAACAGGTTTTTATACATTTTTGCAAATGTATAAAATAAAAAAACGGAAATATTACATTTATATAAGTATTCAGACCCTTTACTCAGTACTTTGTTGAAGCACCTTGGCAGTGATTACAGCCTCGAGTCTCCATGGGTATGATGCTACAAGCTTGGCACACCTGTATTTGAGGAGTTTCTCCCATTCTTCTCTGCAGATCCTCTCAAGCTCTGTCAGGTTGGATGTGGAGCGTCGCTGCACAGCTATTTTCAGGTCTCTCCAGAGATGTTCGATCGGGTTCAAGTCCGAGCTCTGGCTGGGCCACTCAAGGGCATTCAGAGACTTGTCCCGAAGCCACTCCTGTGTTGTCTTGGCTGTGTGCTTAGGGTCGTTGTCCTGTTGAAAGGTGAACCTTCGACCCAGTCTGAGGTCCTGAGCACTCTGGAGCAGGTTTTCATCAAGGATCTCTCTGTACTTTGCTCCGTTCATCTTTCCCTGGATCCTGACTAGTCTCCCAGTCCCTGCCACTGAAGAACATCCCCACAGCATGATGCTGCCACCACCATGCTTCACTGTAGGGATGGTGCCAGGTTTCCTCCAGACGTGACGCTTGGCATTCAGGCCAAAGAGTTCAACCTTGGTTTCATCAGACCAGAGAATCTTGTGTCTCATGGTTTGAGATTCCTTTAGGTGCCTTTTGGCAAACTCCAAGTGGGCTGTCATGGGCCTTTTACTGAGGAGTGGCATCCGTCTGGCCACTCTACCATAAAGGCCTGATCGGTGGAGTGCTGCAAAGATGGTTGTCCTGGAAGGTTCTCCCATCTCCACAGAGGAACTGTGGAGCTCTGTCATAGTGACCATCGGGTTCTTGGTCACCTCCCCAACCAAGGCCCTTCTCCCCCGTTTGCTCAGTTTGGCCGGGCGGCCAGCTATAGGAAGAGTCTTGGTGGTTCCAAACTTATTCCATTTAAGAATGATGGAGGCCACTGTGTTCTTGGGGACATTCAATGCTGCAGAATCTTTTTGGTACCCTTCCCCAGATCTGTGCCTTGACACAATCCTGTCTCGGAGCTCTACGGACAATTCCTTCGACCTCATGGCTTGGTTTTTGCTCTGACATGCACTGTCAACTGTGGGACCTTATATAGACAGGTGTGGGACTTTCCAAATCATGTCCAATCATTTGAATTTACCACAGGTGGACTCCAATCAAGTTGTAGAAACATCTCAGGGATTATCAATGGAAACAGGATGCACCTGAGCTCAATTTCGAGTCTCATAGAAAAGGGTTTGAATACGTATGTAAATAAGGTATTTCTGTTTTTAAAAACCTGTTTTCGCTTTGTCATTATGAGGTATCGTGTGTAGATTGATGAGGAAGATTTTTTATTTAATCCATTGTAGAATAAGGCTGTAACCTAACAAAATGTGGAAAAAGTCAAGGGGTCTGAATACTTTCTGAATGCACTGTTTTTCATCATAACAGTATTATAACAAGGACAGATCAATGATTGCCATGATTTATTTATTGTGTAACAAATGCCCGGACCGATACTGGTCCCAGTCCACCCCTGCTAATGGGACACAACAACATACTGTCCAACAAAAGCCTGACCACTACAGCCTTGACCTTTGACCCAGACTGACCCTGCTGTAAACATTCCATCTGCTTCCTGTTACCTGCTACCTTACAAGTAAACAACATCAACATAGAAGGGAAGCATGTGGGCTTACATGTGATGGCTTCATGTAGCGTTGCAGATACAGAAAAATAAGAGAAAATGCATTAAATTATTTCACACACATACAAGGCTTTGAGGTAAGTCAGGTAAAGTCACCATTATTCTGTGTATACTGCAAATTGGTATACATTTTCTAGAGGGCAATGCTTTATCTTTGTAGAACTTGCTTGACCATTGCTAAAATTAAAAAAAGAGCACACACATCCTGTAAAGGCTCCTACACATCTATCCAACTACAGCCAACCCAACCGTCTATAGATGGTTGCTGAATCGGACAAAGTTGCTTGTAGTTGGTCCCGATTTAACATGAGTTGGGACTGAGTTGGGAAAAAACGACCCAACACATCATCGATATTTAGACATATCAGTATGGATGACGGATCACCACCTCAAGCTGAACCTTGGCAAGACGGAGCTGCTCTTCCTCCCGGGGAAGGACTGCCTGTTCCATGATCTCGCCATCACGGTTGACAACTCCGTTGTGTCCTCCTCCCAGAGTGCGAAGAGCCTTGGCGTGACCCTGGACAACACCCTGTCGTTCTCCGCTAACATCAAGGCGGTGACCCGATCCTGTAGGTTCATGCTCTACACAACATTCGGAGAGTACGACCCTGCCTTACACAGGAAGCGGGTCATCTCCCGTCTGGATTACTGCAACTCGCTGTTGGCTGGGCTCCCTGCCTGTGCCATTAAACCCCTACAACTCATCCAGAATGCCGCAGCCCGTCTGGTGTTCAACCTTCCCAAGTTCTCTCACGTCACCCCGCTCCTCCGCACACTCCACTGGCTTCCAGTTGAAGCTCGCATCTGCTACAAGACCATGGTGCTTGCCTACGGAGCTGTGAGGGGAACGGCACCTCCGTACCTTCAGGCTCTGATCAGTCCCTACACCCAAACGAGGGCATTGCGTTCATCCACCTCTGGCCTGCTGGCTCCCCTACCTCTGCGGAAGCATAGCTCCCGCTCAGCCCAGTCAAAACTGTTCGCTGCTCTGGCACCCCAATGGTGGAACAAGCTCCCTCATGACGCCAGGACAGCGGAGTCACGCACCACCATCCGGAGACATTTGAAACCCCACCTCTTTAAGGAATACCTGGGATAGGATCAAGTAATCCTTCTACCCCCCCCTTACCCCAACCCCCCCCCCAAAAAATAATAATAAAATAAAATAAACCAAAAAAGAGAAAAAATAAATAAATAAACATTGTAAAGTGGTTATCACACTGGCTATAAGGTGAATGCACCAATTTGTAAGTCGCTCTGGATAAGAGCGTCTGCTAAATGACGTAAATGTAAATGTAGTTGGCTGTAGTTGGATAGATGTGTAGGAGTCTTTAAAATGCATGGAGAAATGGATACATGATCAGTGTTTCTCAACCTCCGGTCCGTGGTTACCAGACAGAAATTTAGCCAGATCTCATTAAAGTGATACTCCAGAGCATTCGTATAATTTCAGCCAGAAGTTTTGAAAGTAGTGCTCACGAGCCAAAACAGGTCCCCGAAAATGTTCCCAGTATTTGGAATTCAGACTTACCTTATTCAGTCACGTAAAGCACTCTGCAGGTGTGGTTACCTTGCATGCCCTAAATAATAATTACTCCGATTCTTTAGATTATTTAAGGTTAGGAAAGTATTTATGAATCATAAAAAACAAGTTTGGAGAGCCTTTATGCACAAAATATATTGATTAATCAAGAATACAGTGGTTTGATTCATCCTGAAAGTTGCCATAGTCAGTTCTTCAACCCATGGTAATGTTGGAAGATAAGTGTACATAGAAATATAATAGGGAGAACAGTGTACAATAGTAGGCTATACCCTTGTATATTGCCTGCACTTGCCTGCACTAACCATCGGCTCCATAACGATTTAATTAGCCTACATGTTTTTTCTTGTCCACCTCACTAATATTTCCGACCTCAAACCTTGTTATCAACTGTAACTAATGATCCTCATCAACAACCATATGGCCGTGACAGCGTTTACAGAGGAAGCAAATGAAAGTAAATGAAACAATGTATGAAATGAAAATGTAGGTTATACCAACTGAAGGGAACTAACAGTAAATTGTCAGTTGAATATGTGTGGTTATTAGGCCTGCTGATGGTTGAAACTGTTAGTGGCTAATATTTAACATGATAGAAATACGAAACAGAGAAAGTCGGGGTAGCCTATAAGTAAGACATTCGAGAGTGCCCATCCCTGCAAGTTAAAAGGAGGTAAAATTTATATTCTGCATAATGGCACAGCATTTCATAAACTTTACTGTGGGGAAGTTGATATGTTGATATGCTTCAGTTTGCTGCCATATTACGGGTTTCACATATGTCTCCAGCGATTATAAGGTAAAATAGATCTAAAACAATTGTAATTTATATTTACAATTCCCTTATCCAAACTGATTACTCATTTACCTAGCTCTTATCAATAGCTCTTATCAAGTTGTATCCGGTAGATTCTCTAGACCTTATTCATGGTATCCTCGCACGTAAAGGTGGTGGAATGATTAGGGAATTAAGTCAAGGTCAGAATACGGCGTATCTGTAAACACCCCCCTCCCCGCCACGCCTTCATTTATTCGATTTCCACCCCAAACGAATAGCTGGTGAATTGCATACTATTCTCATGCTTAAATTCAATCTCAGAATACGCGTAGAGAGAAAAGTGTATAAAAGGGAATTGCCTTCCATTTAAGCTGCTTAAAGCGGCAATCAGCAGTTGAAACAATAACAAAGCAAATCCCCGCCCCTATTTCATTAAAAGCTGAGGGATGGGGCTGGAGAAATGTAACCACTCTCAAATTCATAGACAGAGCTATGGATGCAAGGACTAACAATCCATGATATCAAAATGATAGTTTTAACCATGTTTTGCGGTTACATAGTGTTTGTTTACATTTACTTTATTACAAACATTGGAGTAAAAAGAGCTTATATTTGGGGTTCTGATGGGGTACTACAGTTGAACTAAGCTCATGAGGCATAAATAAGATATTCTTCAAGAATCAATGGGTACATACTGTATAATTAAATGATACGTTTAAAAAATGGATGTAGCAACTGCAGATTGCCCCTTTAGCTGGGGG